ACTACCCAGGGCAGGCGAGGTTCGTGCTACTAAGGCTAAGCGCCGTGCGGAGCACCTTATAGCCTAGCGCCGATCTATCTTGGACCTTATTAAAAGGACGTATACTTCCTACGAACGATATTATAATAACGGTTATACCTAGCATTCTTTTAAGGTCGACGAGTATATTCTACTATCCACGAAGAATATCTGATAGAAGAGGCCCTCTAAAAAGCTTAGCGATAAGTTTATCGGGCCGTATAAAGTAACTAAGATTATCGGCACGTATAGCCTGGCTTACTAGTTAGCACTACTAAAAGGTATAAGGATCTATAACGTGTTCTCGGTTTCCCTGCTAAAACTATAGAGGTCCCGCGATAAATTATAACCGGAACCACCTCCTAAGGTCAACGTCGAACCGGATTCTGATAAGTATAAGGTCGAAGCTATCCTAGACTATCGATATCAGAGTAAGCGATACTAGTACCTAATTAAATAGGCCGGCTATAGCGATAAAGAAAATACCTAGGAGCCGAAGTGGAACGTCCCCGATAACCTCGTTAACGCCTACTTTAAAGCGAGACTATCTAAGAACTATATAGGGTCACACACTATCTCTAATAAGGACCCTATAAAGATAACGTAAGGGTATTATCACGCACCCTTTCCTCCTTACGGACGACGAGACCTACTAGGAACTAAATAAGTTTATACACTATCGTATATATCGGCCATATTAGCCTAGAAAAACCCTTTAGTAGGCCGTGGAGATACATTCTTAGGCAAGGACCCTCCCTTAACCCAGACGGGGACTATATAGGCGTTACCGCCTCGGTTACTATTTTCTTCCTTTTAAGCATTTTACTCTCGATCTCTATTCTTCCTTTTAAGCACCTTACTCTTATTCTCTATCTCTTCTTTCGAACGCAACGCCCCTTAAACCCCATTCCTCTTCCTTAGGCATAATAGCTTATCGCCCTTAAACTCTATTTACCTCTGCTTTTTCCCTTAATTAACCGTCACGATAGAACACGATTATATTATAGTGAAGTATAGTTAAAACCGTCAGGGTTATAATAGGAATACCCCAAAACTAGTTAAAAAACAAAAAAGGAAAAACCTAACCCGAAGGCTAGTAAGAAACCTAAAAAGAAAAACCCGTTTTCTCTATATATATTATCCTATTACGCCCCTAAAAAGATATCCTTAAACCCCACTAACTTATTATCCAGAGGGGTAGGCTCCCGCCCAGCCACCTTATTACTATTATCCTGTATATATACCTGGCTCTGCCCCGTGGCAGTAGCAGCCGTTCTCCCCTCTTGCCCATCACCCGCAGATAGTATTAAAGGCCGAAGAGATAGAGGCGTCTTCGCCTTCTACTTCTTCTTCTTCTTCTCTAATAAAGGAGTTAAGGGCGTTAGAGCCTTCTTCCCCTTACCCTTCTTCACTAATATAGTCGGCACTATATCGTCATCGTCAGGCACTTCGTAGGGATCTAGTAGACCCTAAGGACCTTACGGCATAAAGTCTTAAGGTTATGCAGAGCCACCGTTACTAAATATATCGTCACCTATAAAGCTAACCCCCGCGGGGGCTAAGGAAGACCCTAAGGGTATAGGTATACCACCTTCCGTGGCCTAAGCCTAGGCTAGGTTAAGGGCAGTTATCTACTTAAAAGCAGCGGCCGTATATTCCTAGGCCGTAAGGTCGCGCTAGTATAATACTTGGCGTTACTATTCGATATTAAGCCGCTACTACTTAATGGTAAAGCGCTACTACTATAGCTCGATAAATTACTTAAGGAGCGACTCTATACTATTAAGCCTCTCGTGGATATCTTCCGCCGTTTTTTAGCGGGCGTTAGTAACTTCCTTAGCTTAACGCCGAGTAGCTATAGCTTCCTCGGCAGCCCACCGGTTAACCTCTAGCGTCGCTTAACCCAGAGCCTCTCTAAGGATAACCTAGTATCGGACTACGATAGCCTAATACTATATAGGATTGGTAAGGGATTATAGTTAAAGAGGGCGTAACACTTATACGACGACTCTTATTTAGACTACCTTTCTCGATAACGATAACTAAAACCTTTTACAGCTACTCGGCAGCGTTCTTACCAGTAATAGGAAGCAATTATATATATTAGAAAACAGGACCACGGAGTCGTCTATAAAGGAAGGGGCTATAGGGGATAATAATAAAGATATATAACTTACCACGCGGCATTTAAGGCTATTATACTCGGAGCAGTAATAGTATTTATTTATATACCGACCGTTATTAGCGTATCGATATATCACGGCCTTAATAGTATACGCCTTTTCCTTAAAGTTAATCGCCACTAACTTAACTATATAACGTATATAGGGGGCCCTTAGATCCCCGCCTATACCAATATCCATTACTCTCTAGCGTAGAGTAACCGGCGGCGTAGTAGTCGATAATAACGTAGCCGTAGTAAGAGTAGGAGGCGCTAGCGTAGCTAGCTATAGGGCTAACTACCTAGCGGACTATAAGGTCGATACCGTAGTCGTGGTCTTAAGCCTCTTAGAGGCCCGCGTTATACTTGTAGGAGTAGCGGCGTGTTTATTATTATTATCTTTATAGGAAGGTATAGTGACTACGCGTGGTTAGCTAGTATTATAGATTAAAGACGTGTGGGAACTACTTATAAGATAGTAGTTATTTAACTATTTAAGACTGTAAATCGTTAGTATATAATATTATAGATTGGGCGGAATTCACTAAAATGGTAGCACGATCGAAAAGAATTAAGTATAGAAGAAGAAGAAAAGAATAGGAAAAGGGAATAACGGCAGGTTACGAGATATCCCTAATAGTAGTTATATAAGCACCTATTTTTAGTATAAAGAAGGAAGCTACGAAATTCACGGAAAAAGTAACGATAGGCCCTATATAATACCGGCTTCGGGAGCCATTATATAGATTAAAGGGATAACCCGGAAGGATAAAGAGATAGATTAAAAGACCCTAAGAGGAACTAGACTAAAACCTATAGGAATCCTAGTAAGGATAACGCCGGGTTGGAGGATAAGGGTAGAATAGTTTCTATTAATTGACTAAAGGGGATAAAGGGAGAGAGGGTATAACCGGGTTAGAGTTACGGCTAAGAAGGCTCCGTATAGGAACCAGGCGGGGACCTATTAGGGTCATGTCATAGAAGGCTGTAGTTCGGGGTATTAGGGGATTTAGGGACGGACTCGGAGACTAGGTTTTCGGAGGAGCTAAAAGGCCGGCACGGATCAGGCGCTCCTAAGGACAGGAGTATTTAGGGGAGGTCGCTATACTAGGTACCTATAGTAGTAGTCATAATAAGTCCCTAGTATACACTTATAAGGGTCCAGATATACCTAGTCTAAGACCTCTTAAGGCATAAATAAGGTAAGTCATCACACGGTAAATAGAATAGTCTCTTAAAGGAAATAAGGCAGCCCTTAAGGAAGCAAATAAGCAGTCCTCGAGGAGTGAAACGTAGTCTTAAGGAGCGAGGGAGCCTCCCCTTTAAAGGGGGAGGCTAGCGATTAATCTAACTCTTTAGCTATATCTATATTCTCACCCCGTTATAATTCTATTATAATTACACCTAGTTCCTTACTTAACCCTACCTTTTCACTCTTTACGACTACCTATTTAATAACGCTGTATATATAAACAGGGCGATTTACGCTAGCTTATACCTAGTCTTACCCTATACGGCGATATAGCTATCTAGTCTATGATAAAAGATCTCGGGTATTCACGTTATATTCGCGCTCGCCGTATTAACCTCGAAGAAGTCTATAAACGTAAACGCCTCTCCTTCGCTATTAATATACTAGAGCTCTTCCTAACGCCTAACGACTAGATTAATAACCCTATCGTTATAGCTAATAAAACCTAGGCTATAAACGATTCGCTCTAGAAGTAATAGGTAACGGTTCACGATATAGAACGCCCCAAAGACTTCCTGCTGCTTCGGAGGAACCCTAAGGGATAGATATTTTAAGGCTATATTTTAGGGCGTATAAAAGGGCCCTATTATATCTAGCCGAAGGAGTATAAAGGCGTTAACGGGGATAGATTCGTCGAGTGTATCTACCTGAAGATTAATAGCTTTATAGAAGAGCGACTGCTTTATAAGATATATTAACACGACGGTACGCCCTCCTATAGATCACGGAAGGTTAAGGAGTAGCTTTAAGACTACGATATTATCTTAATTAACTACCCCCGCTACTCCCCTAATCTCGCTCCTATAAAGTATATATAGTTTAAGATAAAGATATAGATTAAGGACTAATATCTATAGCTATAATAGATAGGAAGTAAAGAATTAAAGACAGCTATTAAGGCTACTTAGGAGGCTATTAATAGGAGGTTTTTAGAGTCTCTTATTCGTACGATACCGTAGCAATTATATTAGGTTATTAAGAGGGATAGAGGTTATACAGATTTCTGATTTTTTTAATAATAGTGTTAAGGACGGAATTATAATTTTTCTACGGGTAGAAGTACTTAGAAATACTATTACTTTCCTCCTATATAGATATACTTTTACTTACATGGTCTCTTATTATCCCTGGCCAGTCATTTTCGAGATATAGGGAAAAGTATTAAGCTAACGTTTCTAACCCCGGCAGAGGTGTACTTACCTACATAATTACCTAAGGCCCCGTTCGACGACGCTCACAAGCTGGCGGAAAGCTATCAAGGAGTCATAAGGTACCTTAGGTACCTTAGGTACAGACACAAAGAATCCTGGTGGACCCGAGAACGAGGCCGATATCGCTTCGGCAGTGGTAATATTTAGCGTATATGTACCTGGAGATATCGCGTTTGACTGGTAGTTTCCCACCTTTGTGGCAAGGGACAGGTACGAAAAGTACCTTAGGAAAATCCTCAGATCCCCAAATTCCATACCTTGCCTGTCTCGTCGCACGTTTTCGCAAACCAAAGAGGCCGTCTTGAGCCCAATCATAATCGGAACGACGATCCCCAGTTGTCCGCCTGCGGCATTGATCATGGCTCCTCGTCCAACGGCGCTACTGTCAGCTCTCAGAGCAGTCCGCCGACCAAGACTGCCCTTCTCCCCACAAGTGATCCAACATCGTACACCGGCCCGGATTCAGAACCTGGCATCGCTGCGCCTCTTTACCACCACCATCGGTCGACGAGCCCCCGATTTAAGTGCCGATGCGAAGAAGATTAAGCTCACTTCCGCCTCCTATCCAGACCTACAGCGGGACCCGAGATTCACTCAGCTCACGGAGCGCCACGTCGCCCACTTCAAGAAGCTCCTCGGAGAGGCCGGAGTCATTGACGGCGTCACGAGAGACGCGACAGATGACATCCAGCCGTTCAATGAAGACTGGATGCGCAAGTACCGTGGCGAGAGCCGGCTCGTCCTCAAGCCTGCTTCCACCGAGGAGGTGAGCGAAGTCCTGAAATACTGCAACGAAGAAAAGCTCGCGGTTGTCCCGCAAGGCGGCAACACCGGTCTCGTCGGCGGCTCGGTCCCCGTGTTCGATGAGGTCATCATCAACATGAGCCGGATGAATCGCATTCATTCCTTTGACGAGGTTAGCGGAACCCTCGTCGTCGACGCGGGCGTCATCCTGGAAGTTGCGGATCAGTACCTCGTCGAGCGAGGGTACATTTTCCCGCTTGACCTTGGTGCGAAGGGCTCGTGCCAGATTGGCGGTAACGTTGCCACGAATGCCGGTGGCTTGCGCTTGCTGAGGTATGGAAGCCTGCACGGCAACGTCCTGGGCCTCGAAGCGGTCTTGCCCGACGGAACCGTCGTGGACGACCTCTGCATGCTGCGCAAGAACAACACGGGCTATGACCTCAAGCAACTTTTCATCGGCGCCGAGGGCTCTCTCGGCATCATCACCAAGGTTTCCGTGATATGTCCCCAACGCTCCAGCGCTGTCAACGTCGCCTTCTTCGGCCTCGAGTCCTTCGACAAGGTCCAGCAGGCCTTCCGAGCGGCCAAGGGCCAGCTTTCCGAGATTCTCTCCGCCTTTGAGCTCATGGACGCAACCAGCCAACGGCTCGTTCACGACGTGAGGCAAACCCAGAAGCCATTGGAAGGCGATCATCCCTTCTACTGCCTCATCGAAACCAGCGGTTCGAACGGCGATCACGACTACGAAAAGCTCGAATCGTTTTTGGAGGACGTCATGTCCAGGGAAATTGTGTCCGACGGCGTCCTGGCGCAAGACGCTACACAAGCCAAGTCCCTTTGGTCCTGGCGGGAGGGTATTCCCGAGTGCCTTGGTCACTGGGGAGGCACCTACAAGTACGACGTGTCTATCCCCCTGAGCGACCTATACAAGCTCGTCGAAGAGACCCAGGCGCGAATGGAAGAGGCCGGTCTGGTGGGCAACGATGACAGTTACCCCGTTGTGGGCGTCGTTGGGTACGGACACATGGGCGATTCCAACCTCCATCTCAACGTGGCTGTCCGGCGGTACGACCCAAGCATCGAGCAAGTTCTGGAGCCATTCGTATACGAGTGGATTCAATCGAGAAATGGCAGCATCAGCGCGGAACATGGCCTCGGTCTCGCAAAGAAGAAGTTTATCGGCTACAGCCGGTCAGAAACCATGGTTGGCCTAATGAAGAATATCAAGGATCTTTACGATCCCGTAAGTTCTTTTGCTACATTCTCTCCACTACCGTACTACCGTGATTTGCTCATTCTGTTCCAGAACGGTATCATGAACCCCTACAAATACATTTAAGGGCCGATCTTCGGCGAATCGATGAATGCGCACCCGATATCGATTTCTCAGCTCCGATATTCTTGTTTGTTTCGACCTAAAAGCCCACTTCCCAGATCTGATCAGGATCATCATGATCATGTTGGCATGATCCGACCACAGTTTCTCCTTTTATTTTTTTACCTTACATATCGCACTGTCCCTCTGTAAATCCAGGGGGACATTTCCAGTTTCGAATTGGATATATCCTGGTACATAGATCACCAGATTCGTTCTCAACGTTATATACTCGCCGTTGTTTAGATGGATACCAAAAGAAGAAGACGGGGATTGACAGCATGGATTGACGGTGTTTTTCGAGCGTGCTGCTTTCTTGGGCGTTTTCCTGCTCCTCTAAATCCTGTCACCTTATGACACGGAAGAACGCGTGCGAGACGGAGTACGGATACAGAAAAACAATCTCTAAGCTTGAGCTCTCTGGCTTATCGGCAGCGACAGCTGCAAACCCATGACATCCCGCAGGGCAAGGAAGCGATCCTGGGACATCCAGTGTCAGCTCTCATTTGCCCCTTTTTTGTGCGCTTTCGATAACGACCAACGAGAGTTCGAGGACGCCTTAACATCCTTCACATCCTTCAAGTGGGCCTTCTGACCCCTGCAGCCCTACGACATGAATGACATTGCTTTGCTGGCTGTCGCGCTTTTCTAGGGGGCACCTTCACGACAAGTCATGGCCATTAGCTGCCTGGTACCAAGCAGAGTCATGGCCGACCCCTGAAGTCCTGGCGTTCTTACGTACCACTTCATTCATCCTTACTTTCCGTTTCGGGGGCTTTCTCACGGGATGGCGAGTCCTGGCTGGCTGATGAACCGTCCGCCCGTCTTTCTCCTTCGGACCTATGCCCGTAATGGCTTGATATAATAATGTTCATCTACTAATAACTCAACCGTCCATCTGCTGCCTCCCGCACGTCATTCGCCCGTTGCTGTCCTAGGTTAGATGAGCACGGAGTTCTGATACCCCAGGCTTCATCTCTCGTAGCGTCGTAGAGCTGCCCCTGTCCGTCCATCGCTAGGATTGGCCAACCCTGTAGGAAGTACGCGATTGAGAGGAACTGTGAACTGTGAGCTGTGAGCTGTGAGCTGTGAGCTGTGAGCTGTGAGCTGTGAGCTGTGAGCTGTGAGCTGTGAGCTGTCCGCTATAAGAGTCTATCCGTGATGCCCGAACATCGTCTCCGTTCTATTTTCCCTGGATAGAGTGAACGTGTATTCTCGGCGATGAAGGCAAAGTTGAACCTATATATCTCTCCTCGCTCTCGGACTAACTGGTCACGCCTGAGAGCGCACTTACACCAGCCCATGTCGTCCAACACCCCAATATTCCACTTCTCTAGAAAGAGCATCTTCTTCATCCACCGCTCGCGACTGCCACCGTTTTTGCATGGCGCACCAACTATCTATGGCTGGGGTTCCCGGGAAATACAAGGGATGTGAGACCTGCCGGGCTCGCAGGGTCAAGGTAATCACTCATGTCCATGGGAAGTGGCGAAGGCAACACCGGCTCAACACTCTCATAATGCGATAATTCACGACCACACTGTCAAAAATGTCTCCGCAGCGGTCGCGACTGTGCTGGTTACCAGCGAGGAAGGATCTTCATCACAGCAACCATCGACGACGGTGGCCGGTGCGCTTCCCACCCTCCACGACAACTATGCCCTCCTAAGCAGACCAAGGCAAAGTCACTAGAGCCCGAGAAGCCCGAGTTGAGGGTAGTTGGTCCGTTGGGGCCAGCTTGGGACGATTTCATCTTATTGTCGACCCAAGGGATCGCATACGCTGTTCGGGTAGTCGTCGTGAGCACTTGCATGCAGATTACCACGCAGCGAATGGGCGGTGAAAAGCATGGAGCCTCTGTATCGCTGCCCCCATACTCACCCCTGAATCTGCAACTTGTGAACAGTGGGAAAGAGCTGGAGGTTCGAGCTCGGAGCATGATAAGCATGATACACCCTGAGCCCCCAGACAACAAACCCAGTCCGGCTGAGAACATTTTCCTGACGGCTTTTGAGGTCAGTGGTCATGTTTAAACCAAGGACCCCCATGTGCTGATCGAATAACAGCACAACTCCTCATTTCTCCCAGCGACTATTCGAAAAGATCCGGAGGGTCAGTTGAGTGAGGTCAGGAAAATGGGACCGCAGAGCTTCCAACATTTCCCCGCTCATCATTACTTCGTCCGTGTCTACAGGCACGTCGCAGTAAGTCCATCACGGCGTACTCTGTACGGCGAAAGAGGCTAACCGTTGTCAACTCTCTCCGCCTCCCTCCTCTCCAAGGTCATGCTGGCCCTTCTAAACAGAACGGCCACCTTCCTATCGTCCGAGGAATGGAGGACCGTCCCCTGGAAGTTTCATCCCAAATCAGCCCTGGATCGCCTTCTCGATATCTTGTTTCTCAGCCCCGGCCTGTTCGTCCGCACTGATGCCCTCGTTCCTGCACCTGCAACAACCACCCGTCGTACGAAGGCACAAAAGCTCCTTCACGACTGCCTAGCCGTGGAATCCCAGCTAGACCACTGGCATGCCACGCTTACTGGGCCGGGGGAAGGAGAACCAATCGCCCGCCCGATCTACTGGGCCGAGGACACGGAGTCTCCCTCGGCCATCGTCGACCCACAACACAATCCCTTTGCCGGCTGTCTGGCATTCAGGGACGACCCCACGGCACTTGCACTTCTTACCTACTGGACGGCCTTGCTCCTGCTCAACGCCTCCAGTAACCGCGTACACGCAGCCGTTTGCGCGCCGGTCCTTGACGATTATCCTAATCTGTATCCAGATCTTCCCCCGAGCTTACGAATCGATGCCAGTAAGTATCGGCAGGGCAGGGAGTACGCATCCTGCATTTGCAGGGGCCTAGACTTCGCCCTCGCCGCAGGAGTCCAGGTCGACGCGCTCGTGGCTCCCCTGGTTGTAGCGCAAGGAGTGTATCGAGAGATAAATACTGCCTCGAGAGATGGAGAATTGGAAGTCGTATGGTGTGAAGCCTTTCGCGAAGGGTTGGTGACAACGGGCCAATACATAGTGGAAAGCATCTCCAGTCGCAGTTGGGTTGAAGCAGGGCAGTTCTGAGCAGTTCCTGCTTCCCGTTTTTCTTCATTTCCATTTCGAATCAAACTTAGTGGCATCTTAGACCAGACCACCCGGAGCTGGTCTTCATCGGCGCGGCCATAGTCAGGTATCTCGTTTGTCTGCTTGTCTGCTGAGGACGAAAGTCGGGCAATTTAAGATGTGCAAAGTACTCCGTATTAATTACTGCATGAACACGGTCGTACAGACGCTCGGTACGAATCGGGCCCACTTATAATCAAGCAGCACTACCTATGTGGTTTAATATGATATATTTGATAAGGTCATATCTGGGGCGTCCAAGGAGCTTTCAGCCTTCTGACCTGCTACTTGTAGCTGAGGTACAAGGTAATTACGAACTAGAGCTTCGTCAGATGATAGAAGCCTACCTACCTAACTCAGCTCGATCCCCAACTACGTTCTCCGTCCACTAAACAAATCTAGACACCCGCAACACTCCCCGCCTCCATCCCTGTTTCTTTGGTTAGACTCGCATAATTGGAACTTCAGCACACAATCAGCAATCATGGCATCTGGATACGACAGAGCGCTCTCTGGTAAGCTATCCTTGCGACCATGTTTAACATATGTGCTAATCAATGAGTAGTCTTCAGGTTCGTCTACACCGATGCATCCTCGCGAAATGCCTTGAGCTAAACATCTTCATAGTCCCGATGGGCACGTTTTCCAGGTTGAGTACGCTGGCGAGGCCGTCAAGCGAGGTAAGAACAAAGTCCTGGATCGCGCTGCCCGTTCCATCCTTTCGCTGGCTGTTTCATGCTCAACAACCTCTTAGGGACTTGCGCGGTGGGCGTCAAGGGAAAGGACGTCGTGGTCCTTGGCTGCGAGAAGCGATCCGCGATGAAACTCCAAGATACCCGGATCACCCCCTCCAAGATTCAGCTCCTCGACACCCACGTCTGCCTGGCTTTCGCCGGTCTGAACGCCGATGCCCGGATCCTCGTCGACAAGGCACGGTTAGAAGCGCAATCACACAGGCTCACGGTTGAGGACCCGGCCTCGATTGAGTATATGACCAAATACGTCGCGGGTGTCCAGCAGCGCTACACCCAGAGTGGTGGTGTCCGCCCCTTCGGCATCAGCACCTTGATAGTCGGGTTCGACAACGGCAGCAAAGTCCCCCGACTGTATCAGACAGAACCCTCTGGTATTTACTCGGCATGGTGCGTCCCCCTGTCATGTGCCCGCGTTTCCTGTCTTGTACTTCATGCGGGGGTAATGACAGTTCTAACGACCCGCACAGGAAGGCGAACGCCATCGGCCGCTCTAGCAAGACAGTACGCGAGTTCCTCGAGCGGAACTACCAGGAAGATATGGATCGAGAGGCGACTATTCGTCTAGCGGTCAAGTCCCTACTCGAAGTTGTCCAGACCGGAGCGAAGAACATCGAGATTGCCTTGATGGCCAGCGGGAAGCCCATCGAGATGCTACCCGTAGAAGAGATCGAAAGCTACGTCAAGAATATCGAGCAAGAGAAGCAAGAGGAGGCGGCCAAGAAGAAGACCGGCCGTACCCCAGGCACCGGAACTGCTGCCATTCTGACCAGAGGATCTGCCGAAGGCGAGAGCGAGCATTAGAGTCTTGAGTTCGCAACGTCTCCCACAGGGTGCACAGGGATGGGCGAAATGACGCGAGGAGACTTGAGTACATTCAGAGACTAGTGTATTACCAGACCCCAGGAGGAACGTCTTCATGAGCCCGTATGGTGGAAACATGTGCTCTAATTCGCCATGTTTGCATGCCGTCGAAAGAGATCGGCCAGTCATCGCTTCGTGATCATGTACATCTATTATAACGGAGCCATAACAATCTTATCCCAACTTGTCCGCCTCATCCACGGGGTCAAATATCGTCCTCTTTCTGGCCGGCTTCATCCTGTCGTCTTTGAGCATCCTGTTGTCCACGCGCGCGTCCTCGCCCTCAATCGAGATTGCAGGCGTGGGTGTCTTGGCCTCGATAACGAAGTGGTTGTCGCAGTGTGGGCAGTACTCATCCGCGTCTTCGAATTCGTTCGCGTCCTTTCGGAAGCACTTTTTGCATTTCTTGCAGGCGAACGTCATCTCGAGCGTCTGTAGGAGAGGGTGTGACTCTTGCTCATGATGGCACTGGGCGCAGTCGAACCATTTCTTGCCTACCGTATTGAATGCTTGGTCAGTGACGGATGCTGGCAAGACGACCTATGAGTTTCAAAGAGTTAAAGAAGCCAGAGGGATGGTAACATACAGCAAGGGGAGCGGATGGCGACTTGCGCATTGAGAATATGTTTGCTTGGACTGCTGTTAGAAGAGCTAGGACTGATGGCTGGGCGCTTGAAGGGGGAAGGAGGTGGCCTACCACATGGTAATGGAATCGGGCGAGCCTCGCAGTGTCCCCTCGACAGAAAGATGTTCCAGTACCCTTTATACGGAAGGCATGTGGCATGAGAGAGATGAAGGCAGTTTCTCTAAGCCTAAGATATGCGCAAACGTCGGCCAATTTTGGACTTTCAAGTTCCGCTTACTCATTATTAATAAGGGGCACTGGCACCTGCCAGAGCTCAACGCGTCGAGTTACGGATACCGTAAAAACCCAACAACTTCGGGATTAGCACTAAGGACTTAGCATCCCACTAACGTAACCTAATTACAAACTAACCAATAAAACAAGAGAACTTTATAAGGTAGTAAATCATTAATATTAAGTATATAATTCTGTATTTCTAGTGCTTTAGTACCTTATATTATTTTTTACGTATATTTATTAATTCCGCTACTATAATGCTATAGCCTATAGATATTAATATCTAAAAAACGCCTCGGGCTAAAATTAGCTCTAAGGCTAAGATATCTAGTGCCCGAAAATATACCCCGTTTAACGCCTATTCGATAAGTATAACGTAGCTAATCTAACCGCTGCTATATTACGGTATTGGAATTCCTTAAGTACTATCTCGTGCCTTCAATTAAGGTCCTTATTATAAATAAATACCCCCCTCGGCGTGCTCGAGAGTGTAAGGGCGAGACCGATATTATAATAGCCCCCGGGTATAGACGACTAAGGTACCTCGAGGCTAGTATCTTCTTTAAGATACTAAGGTTAACGATTAAGACCTAGTAGTGTAAAAGGGATACTTGTCAGGTGCCTGCAGCAGTGGTCACAATAGGACCCTAGTGTGAACCCACAGAGGTCCAGGCGTGTCCAGTCTAAGACCCCTCGAGGCATAAACAAAGCAGTTATCACACACAGCAAACAGGATAGTCCCTCGAAGCAAATAAGGCAGCCCTCGAGGAAGCAAACAAGCAGTCCTCAAGGGGCAGCGGAACGTAGTCTTAAGGAGCGGAGGAGCCTCCCCTTTAAAGAGGGAGGCCAGCGATTAATCTAACTCTTTAGCTGCACCCACGTTTGACCCTATTATGATCCCATTGTGATCACACCTGGTTCCTTGCTTAACCCTACCTTTTCACTCTTTGCGACTACCTATTTGACAATACTATACTAGGTACTAGAAGTGGTTACTATCAATCGTATAGTCCCGAATATCCCGAACTAAAGCTTAAGTTATATAAACTCTTCCTTTAACGATATCGTAAACGCCGCCCTATTAGCACGGCCTAGCTACGCCTCCAAGCTTAGCGTATATTTAAGGAGATATATCTAGATTACCCTTTATTGGTCTTTATTTTCTTAACCTCTTAGCTACGTAGCTTTTTTTAGCGGTTTAATATTATACGTCGATATATTACTAAATAAGCGATTAAACTACTAGAAGACTTTATCCTAGCTATTACGAGCTTCCTTAGGTTTATTCGGCGGAACTAGGCTATCCCTTCTTTTCCTACTCTAGATATTATAAGCCCGAGACCTATTACCCTAATAAGGACCTAGCCGAATAATTATTAGGGTATTATAGTATCCTTTATAGTAAAAGGAGATTATTTATCCTTCTTAATTATCGCTTTACTAATAATCGTATTATTAATATAGATAAAACGCCTATCCCGTTTAAGTATCTTAACGGTTATATCTATAACACTAAGGGTAGTCAGACTATTAGTATAAAAATAGAGCGTGGTGGTTAGGATAAGCGGTGGGTAAGTCTTATAGTCTTTATGTTTATAGATAGTATCTAACGTCTTAAGCCTAAGTTAATATTCTATAATAAGCCTAATAGTACTATTAGAAAGAAAGAGGAATATCTTTACTATACTAGCGTTATAATAGAATTTATTAATACCGTTTATAATAATAAAGCTTTTTCGTTTACTAGATTAGGAAGAGTTAATCCCTGTTATAGGTAATAAGGAATCTATACTAGTTATAGATATAGTATTATTCTATAAGACCCCTACTATTAAGGAAGCCCTTAAACTAAGTAAAATACTACCTCCTATAATACCTCCTAGCTATACTTCTATCAGGTACCTATAGCAGTGGTAATAATAGGCCCCTAGTATAAACCCACAGGGGTCTAGGTATGACTAGTCTAAGACCCCTCGAGGCATAAATAAAGCAAGTCACTATATAGTAAATAGAATAGTCCCTCGAAGTAAATAAGGTAGCCCTCGAAGAAGTAAATAAGTAGTCTTCGAGGAGCAGAGCGTAGTCTTAAGGAGCGAGGGAGCCTCCCCTTTAAAGAGGGAGGCCAGCGATTAAGCTAATTCTTTAGCTATACCCACGTTCTGACTACCTTATAATCCTATTATAGTCCTACCTGGTTCCTTACTTAACCCTACCTTTTCACTCTTTACGACTACCTATTTGATGTTTTAATCGCTCTACCCTCTAAAGGCGCGAAGACCGTTAAGGAGAGTCACTAAGATATCTAACTATCACGAAATAAACGATCCTACCTTCGATTGTAATAAGGCTACTAGTTAGTTTAAGCGGCAGCTCCGCGATAACGAGACCGCCTTTATAGAAGACGCTCCCTATAACGAGGGAGACGACGGGAATACGCCGGGAACCGACACGGCTCCTACGTCTACCCCTATACCGGCACCTATCCCTATACCTACTCCTATGGCTAGCACTACCTCTGCTATTACCTTTACCCCTATTATCCTCCCTATTCCTTAGACCACGACTATAACGGGACCCGCGTATAACTATAACCTGCCCCTGTATATAAACGTTAACCTAGCCACACTAATAGAGGAATAACTAGATAAACGCGTTCAGTAGATAGAAGTGTAGAACTACTATAAGCGTAAGCATATTTATCTCGCTAAGCTTAAGGCTAATACTACTATTATCGCTACCGCCGCTATTAATCCTACTATTAATCCTAACCTAGTTAATACCACTATCCACCGCTGTATAGCCAAGCCCTAATATCGTATTATCGTGTTACGGGTTAACCCCGATATAGAGGATCCGGCTATACTCCGGATCTTCCTGACTACGCGCTTAGTTAACGGACCTATATCGCTAAGTTATCGCTACCTTATAGCTAGCTAGCTAGCCTAGCGCTATAGACTTTTCTCCTTTTTCCTTCTTCCTTCCTTAGTTCTAGAAAATCTATTATTACGACCTTACTTAGTACTATAACCTATAACCAGTCGTTTATATATCTAGAACTTAGCGATACCCACGCGTTACGCTAGCGATAGATTAGGATCCTAACGCTACCGTCTAATAACCTATTAGAATTAAATAGGTCGTAGAGTAGACGAACTAACGGTCTAAAGAAAATAACCGAGCCCTAAACGTAAGGCTAGGCCCTCTCTATAAATAATATACCGATATTAACTTAAGGCTTACTCCGATATAAGAATATTACTTAGAAATACGTTAGTTTATAGACCGATAATGCGCGAGAGAAAAAGCTAATAAGCGATAACGCTAGTTAGTCGAATAGCTTATAGCCCGGCTCCTAGGATCGCCTACGCTGTAGAACCTAACGCCGCTTAACCTAAATATTCCGGCTCCCTTATAGACCCCGATACTCCTTATACTAATACAGTCTACCCTATTACCGGTTCTATCGCTAGCGCAATAACCGATAATAATAGTTATCGCCCTAACCTTCATAGCGATACCCTGTAAAACTATCGATAGCCCGGCGAAGTTCTTAAGGAAACGAGTATACTATAGCGTATAGGCTTACGCGATATAGCAGAAACTTATAATCGATAGCGATTTATTCTAGAATAATATATAAGCTTAGTATATAATCTATAATTACTTAGGGCCCCAAGTATAATACGTCGTATTAGCCTTTTATGAAAACGATAGGCCGGGTAAGCTTATAGACCCTAATAAGTTTATAGCGTATCTTAATTATACTTACCTTAACCCTATAGAATAATTATAGGCCGCCTAAGCCTTACGTATAATTTATTAATAAATCGATAAGTCGTTTACCGCTTTCTTATCCCGTTTTAAAAGATAGATCGCCCTTACGGGTAGTACCGAATAGGAAGCCACTATATAGATCTTATTCCTTAACAGAGCGATTACTTCGCGATGTAGTGATAAACTTATCTCCGCCCGAGTCCCTACTAACCACTACACTATATAGGTTAACGGCGTGTAAAAGATTACTAGGAAACTTAAAGGCTATTAGTTCGAATAAAACTACGATAAATAAGCTTAAGACTATATAACCGCGAAGAAGAATATTCACGGCGATACGAAGATAGGCGGAGTAAACCGTATTAATAATAGGAAGGCGAAGTAAAAGACTCGGACGTACTATAACTATAATAAAAAGGGGTATATCGCGCGGAATTATAAAAAGCTAAAGGAAAAGTAAGACACGGTCCGGAAGGTTAAAGAGACTCGTACGAAGGATCGCGATAAAAGCGGGGATAAGTCGATTAATATTAGATGCCTACGGTAGTAGTCATAATAGGTCCCTAGTATAAATCTATAGGGGTCCAGGTATGCCTAGTCTAAGACCCCTTAAGGTATAAATAAAGTAAGTTATTATATAGTAAATAGAATAGTCCCTCGAAGTAAATACGGTAGTCCTCGAGGAGTAAAGCGTAGCCTTAAGGAGCGAGGGAGCCTCCCTTTTAAGGGGGAGGCCAGCGATTAATCTGACTGTTTAGCTACACCTATATTCTAACCCTATTATAATCCTATTATAATTATACCTAATTTCTTACTTAACTCTACCTTTTCACTTCTTATGACTACCTATTCAATATTTTAATCGATCTACCCTTAAGAGCGCGAAGACCGTTAAGGAGAGTCACCGAGATATCTAACTATCACGAAATAAACGATCCTACCTTTAATTCTAACGAGGCTACTAGTTAGTTTAAGCGATAGGTCCGTAATAGCGAGACCGCCTTTATAGAAGACGACCCCACCGATAAGGAATACGACGGGGATACGCTGGGAACTATTACTACTCCTACTACTCCTACCTCTACTACCGCACCGGCACTTATTCCTGCCCCCATACCTGCTCCTATCGCTAGCACTACCTTTACTA